TTACGGTTGAATAGAACAAACGTCTGAAGTGCTAAGAGGTACATACAAAATGTGCAGAGCGGTGGTACATGAGGACTGGAATTGAGAACCACTGTTTTAAATAAAAAATGTGTGTATAAATTTGTTAAAAAACCTAGAGATTATGGTTTATAAGGTTTTAAATATGGATATTTTTCTTACACAAATGCATCGCTTTGCTTCAGAAGGCCTTTATTAACCCCCCGGAGCTATGTGGAGTACTTTTTATGATTGATGGATGCACTTTTTTGGGCTTCAAAATCTTGACCATCATTTACTGGCATTATAAAGCTTGGAAGAGCCAGGACATTTGAAAAATATATATATAACTCCAATTGCATTCATCTGAAAAAAGAAAGTAATATACACATAGGATGGCTTGAGGGTGAGTAAGTCATGGGGTAATTTTCATTTTTGGGTGAACTATCCTTTTACATTATAGGCTAGCTGTCTAAATTCCAGCTTCTTGTTTGTTTGTTTGTTTTTTGTAGAGAAAAGTGTTATAAAAGGCAATTATGCATAGTTAAAAAGTACAATAAATAAAAATAAATATTTTTTAGCAAATATAAAAATGCATTACTAAACATTTTTTTTTTATTGTTTTAGCAAATAATGGCTCAGTAATTAAAATAACTTGGCCAGCAGAATATATATATATATATATATATATATATATTTATTTTTCTTCTGTATTTATTTATTGTTGAGACCTGACATGGTAAAACGTGTTAAACAATGCTGAGAATACACAAATTTGTTGTCGTTGTACTGCGTCACTTCTCATTTGCTAGAAATTTCTCCAGCTCCCATTGCAAATTAATCGTTTCCAGTCACTTTGTTGCTGCAAATCACTGTCAATATTAAACACCTCATAAGTTATAGACTGTATTGCTTCAGTATTTCTACTTTTTCATTTAGAAATGAAGGTAAATCAGGCGAATGGTTTGTGCTGAATGATCCATTTGGCACCCAGCTGCTTGATTTGGTCCAGCTCCCTCTGGTACTGAGCCTGGATTAAAGCTCTGGACTGGGACAGTACCGCACAGTAGGACCCTTTCCATCAGACGGCATTTGATATCCTCTCGGCTTCACCCTGCTGAGAACGTCATATCTCTACTGCTGTGCCCGGGCACCCGCCACCCCACTCTCTGATCCTGGACCTGAGAGCGGTCCATATCACACACAGTTCACATTGGCACAGTCTGGATTGGGATCAAGCTGAGAGGACTTATCCACATCAGCTTGCTGACTAAGGTGAACGTATAGCCAGTCACTGTTTGCGTTTGGCGGTTTTTGAGTTTCAGTGTCCATAATCAGGAACGTACGCTGTAGGAACAAGGCCACCGATTGGGAGGGGTGCCTCATTCCCTTCATTCATTAATGCTGGCCTAATTACGCTCCCCGGCCTCTCTTTTCTGCCAAAAGAGTCCCCAGTAGAGCTGTCGTCTCCCCTGCAGACATAGTGGGAGAACAGAAGCAACTCTGAGAGAAAGGGAGGAACGGAGTTACACTAACGCAGGTGAATGGATCGGAAGCCAAGAGACATTATGACTGACTTGAGAGTCTTGATCCCTTAAGTGTTATTGGTTGATATCCATCCAGGCTGTCACCGGCTCTCCTCTGCCACTTGCCAAGTCGGTGATCATCATTTTAATGGTACCTGGCTGCTTCTGTTGGGTTTGTGGTGGGCTTTCCCTCATTCTCATTCATCGTGGGTGGAGCTCCAGGTGGGAGGGGCTTATTGGAATACAAAGGTGGTTCTGTCATTTACATTAAGAGACATAATAGATCATAGTCAGAGTACAAGCCATATTGTCTGTTGATAATTCAGGCAACTAAACATTGATAATGCCTTTTTTTCATTTAAAAATTGTGAAAAGACTGAATATTCATCCTCCAGGCATAGCGAATGCTCTGTGTTTATCTATTCCTCAAATTCTCATTTTCATTTGCTCCACTTTAAATTTGGCAACTATTCTAACTAAGGCTTATTGGTTTTGATCTTATACTCAGCTCAGCTGTTTTCACATTCATTCCTCTTCAAATACTGCCCCGAATAAGCATTTAATAATGAACTACTTTACAGTTCTGTTCTTTTAAAATAAAAAATAAAACACTAGAAATAAACGTTTTTTTATGCTAGAAGTAAATTTAGGCATCACAACGTCACAACAACAAGGATTTTTTTCTCCTATGTAGAAACCAGACCGTTAATTGTGGTTTTAAACTACTCTTTATGGTCAGAAGATGACACTTTTCCAGTTATTTACACTTTTACAGTCATTTTAATATTGACTCCAGAACACAGGTAACAAAAGTGGATATTAAATGGTTTACCTCATACTTTAGAAAAAGTGCAGGCCATCTGATCTCCCTAACTAGTGCAGAATCTCTACAACTTCTTAGACTCAACTCAAACTTTATTCATAAAGCATTTTCAACACCACGACTAGAACCAAAGTGCTGTACAGAGAAAGATGAGAAAAATAACCCTAAACCTAACCCTAAAAGGGAAAAAAAATAATACCAACAAATAACATCCACAGCTAAAAAGCATTGTCAAAAGCTAGAGAAAACAAATGAGTTTTAAGCGCACTCTGAAAAACACCCAAAGTTGGAGAAGATCTAGTAGACAGAGGAAGGGCATTCCAGAGCCTAGGAGCTGCCACAGAGAAAGCAAGATCTCCTCTACATTTTAGACGAGATCGTGGAGCCATTAGGAGTAGTTGATCAATTTAGCGCAGAGATGTCTAGATGGTCAATACATTTTTATCTATAGATATGAGCAAACATCTCACTGCTTATAACATTATTTTCATGGTTTCTCCATTATTAAAACGATTTAATATAATGCATTTTCCCGTGTGTGAAATCAGTAAAACACTGCTGAATTAGGTTAAGCTGTCAGATACAGTCGATTATAAAAATTATTACTACATACCAGTGATTTTAAAGAAAAGCTGGATTGAACAGGCACGCTCACATCAGCATCGAAAATCAGAAACATACTGCAAAATGAGATTAGGCCATCAGTTTGAGAATGTTTGAGAATGAGTAACACTGCTAAATTAGAGTACGCGATCAGTTTGGGAAAAGCATATACATTATATATATGACAAAAATAACAGAGTCGATTAAAAAATTATTAATTCATACTAGTTATTGTGCAGAAAAGATGGATTGATTAGGTAGGACACTGTCATCAGCTTCTCTCAGGGGCAGTCGTGGCCTAATGGTTAGTGAGTCTTGTAACCCAAAGGTCACGGGTTTGAGTCTCGATAACGGCAGAGGTTGTATGAGGGAGTGAATGACCAACGCTCTCTTCCACCCTCAATACCACGACTGAGGTGAGACCCTTGAGCAAGGCACCGAACCACCCCGGGCGCTGCAGCAAAAATGGCTGCTTGCTGCTGCTGTGTGTTCACAGTGTGTGTGCGTTCACTGCTCACTGCTGTGTGTGTGCACTTGGATGGGTTAAATGAAGAGCACATATTCTGAGTATAGGACCCCATACTTGGCCTCACGTCACTTTCACCAGCATCAACTTTTGGAAACTCCCGTAGCTGAAGTCTCAAAGTGTGCATGTGTTCAAGGTTCAAACTTGGTTCAAATGCGCGAACAACAAGAATCGTGAGCTTCAATGGAAACTAAAACGTCTTAGTAAGATCAAGAAAACAGTGCATGTTTTTAACATTTAAGGAACTAATTTGTTGAATCTACTTAGTATCATGCATGAACACTTCCAAGCAAAATATCTTAGTTCAATTTACTGTTTTATGTTTATTGGGAGGACTTTTTGTAAGTTGGCTTTTTTACAGTGTGCTCGTGACTCTTTAGCTCAGCCCACAGCACGCCTCCAGGAGCTTGACTGTTTTCGGAGAGAAGCAGTATAGCTGCATCTGTCTTTTATAAATCTGATAAAACTAAAGCCTCTTCTGAGATATGAAGGATGCAATGCTACTCTATAGGTACTCAAGATTAACATGAGATTGGCAGAAACTGTATGTGTTCTGTCCCCTTGAATGTTTGAAAAAGTGTGATGGGGATTCTGTAAAATTATTATATATAATATAAAAATATCTAAGATATAAATACACTAAAATGATATTAATATATACAGTATATATCGAACAATTGGATCGGTATTGGCCAATAACTGTTAAACCATCAGTTTCTTGAATGGTGTACCACTAGTTGCCTATAGATTAACTTATAATGGTGATCATTCTTACTTAGATAAAGGCTACTGACAGTTTCTTGAAGCTCAAACAGTAGAGTATGGCACTAGTGACACCAAAGTCATGGGTTTGATTCCCAGGGAATCTGTGAACTGCTTAAATGTATACCTTGAATGCAATTTAAGTCGCTTTAGATAAAAGCATCTGCCAAATGCATAGATGTAAATGCCCTGACATTAATAGTGCTAATGCGTTTTCATTGATTTGTTCAGATGGGAGCTGAAAGTATTCGGATCCTCTCTCTGAGTGTAAAAGGATCTTTGAAATGAAGATAGACAGCAGCGCATAAGCAATTACAAGCACACACCAGCTCCCAGAATCTCATGCATTGATTGAAAAACTGGAGCAGGATGAGGTAAAACTTTAAGGCCTGGCCTTGAGGAGATAGTAGTGGTCTTTTTTACCCAACTGACGGATTTCCTGTCAGCCTGGAGCCTTCGTGTCCAGATGCATGTGCTCAAATGCTTCAAAAGAGCAAAGGTTGGATGTAATGAAGTCTACTCAGTCCTGGAGAGAATCGAGTGAGCTGCATGGATTTCAGCGTCTCTCAGTCTAGCTCGGATGACTTGGTATTTAACTTTTTCTTATTTTTTTTGCCGCTGTCTTTTCCTTCTCTCTCTCTCTCATTTTGTCTTTTCTCTCTCTCCTGTTCTCCCTCCCCTCAGGTTTTTTTTTCAGACAGTTCTCGTGAAATCTCTGACCACTGCATCCATGCTTGCTGACAGGTGTCCTTGAACCGGGGTCAGTCGCTGTTGGTGTACTTATCTACCGCAAAGCAATATTTGGGAGTCAAGCAAAGCCGCTGACATTTAGGAGGAGAGTTTTGAAGGGGGATTTGGTATTCGCCGAGAGCCACATCCCAAATCCTGTTTAGGAAAGCGAGTTTAGTGTGTTCGGGTGGTATAAGAGCGCTTGTGAGGTCTTTGAATTAATGATTTTTAGCCCTGCGGTGAAAGATTGTTAGAGTTTCTTAAATTGTGAGGGGCTTCTGGGCGTGTGTTAGTTGGTGTTCCCAGCGGTCTTAGAGGAATATTTAGAGACAGGATGGAAACGATGAACCAATGTTCCTACAGCCCTGTATATATAGCACACAGCCTCAATACACACGACCCACATTCTCTTCGTCACTCACAGGAAGAGAGAAACTGGGTCTGGAGTACATTGACGGTCAACAGGGATAACATATACCATAGCACACACCAATAGATACATACAATTTGTAAGCACACCAGTGTTAATTTTGACAGCAAATTTTGATTTAGTTTTAGTTATAGTCTTTTGACTAAAATGCCATTTAATTTTAGTCATATTTTAGTCATCTGAATTGTTTTTAGTTTTAGTCGAATAAATATCATAAGATTTTAGTCAACTAAATCTACAGTAAATTTAGTCGGCTAAAATCGAATGGGTTTAGTTACAGTGCATTTATTAAGCATTTCTCTAAAATTTCCAAACTCATTATAAAGGTTTGATATTAAGGTTTTATCATGCTAGACAACGATTTAACTGCAGTGACACACAACATGCCTTTATGTTAAAATTAAATAAAACCACTTCACATAAAGAAGAAGAACATGGTCTTCTTTTTAATGAAATACCAATGGTTATATAGGCTAATTATGCATTCTTTATAGCAACTTGTTTACCATATTTCATATTCCATAATTTAACATAATTTTGTGTGTAATTATCCATTCATGCGACGCGAAAGAGTACTTCTGCGCTCAGAAAACCGGACTGAATTGAGTTTTCTCTTGCGTCGTCAGATTTATCCATATGTCTGCTCTTCTCTTACTCCCACATATTGACATTTCAATGTATGTTCAATGTCATTTAACATACATAAAACAATGTATGTTGGCTTATGTCCCACCGGTTCATATGTATGCGTCTAACCTCCTAACTATGCAGCAGATTCGTTCTGAATGAATCTCTTCCCAAATCGTCCCTCCCTAACATTTTCATCTCGTTTTTATTCGTTGACGAAAATGTCAATAGATTTACGTCATAGTTTTTGTCATTCAAAAAGAGTTTTAGTTCATTATTGTCTCACTGTCGTCGGTGAAAAAAATGTCGTTGACAAAAAATGATGACGAAAATTATTCGCCAACTAAATTAACACTGAAGCACACTCAAATTGCGCATCTTGTGGGTCTGGCTGTAAGAATACTCTAACGGTTAATTTCAGGTGTTACTTCTTTTGCAGGTCACCATTTGCTGCCGTTACAGATTATTCTGTGACCAGGAACAACGTGATCCAGCTGTGCTTGGAGCTCACTACCATAGTACAGCAGGTAATGACATTCACCATCCAAACCAACTAGATCAAACACTTTTTTACAGTCTTGTATGAGTCTTGTATGAGTCTTGTAACAAAAACATTATAACTGACACTTCTGATCAAAACAACATTTTCAAGAATGAAATTATGAAGGTCATATATGGCTCTTGTCTAGGCGTGGAGAACGACTTCCAGAGTAGATTTAGCTATGTGGTTGAGTTTAATGGTGCAGTCAGGGGTTTTTAAACTTTTTTATGATGGCGAGGAACTAAAAATATAAAGCAGAGAGGCAGCTATATATTTTCATGTATAACAAAATAATTGAGTTTGTTTTTTTTGTTGTTGTTTTGTTTTTTTAAATATTTTTTAAATATCTTATGCTCACTTATGCTGCATTTAATTGATCAAAAATGATAAAACAGTACTATTGTGTTATATTAATTTATTACACTTTTTTAAACGCATAATTTAATAACTATTTTGTCAATGAGTACATTTATACATTTTTAATACATTTTTAATTTATTCATGTGATGGCAAAACTGAATTTCCAGCAGCCATTACTCCAGTCTTCAATGTCACGTTATACTTCAGAAATAAAAAATTTAAAATCTTAGACTCCAGACTATTAAATCCCCTAATCTAAGTGTTCTTGGCCTTTATATTGTCACCAGTGGTACCAAATTTCTGTTATTTATTTTTAATGATGAAAAATTACTGAGTGCATGTTTAAGATATTAATATGAAATGTTGTTTAAAACTCTCTCTCACACATCTGCTCTTCCCACATTCTTTCACATGTTTTAAAAAGGCTTTAGAATGTTTAGAAGGTTTTTAGAATGCACTCTGAGGATAAGAACTACAGCTCATTCACTACTGAGGTGGTGTGCATTGTGGGTAATGCAGTCCTTTAGAGCAAAGCATGGAGGGAAACATGATAAGTGTGAAACAGCCCTGTCAGAC